CACACACACACGCACACACACACACACACACACACACACACACACACACACACACACACACACACACTATGGCTGAGCGATTCATCTAAAAGTAATCGTCATTTCAATTTCAGCTTCTTAGGATCATAAAAACATAAAAATCGAAGAAAAACGATGAATGTGCAGAACAGCGCTGTTTTTGCATGTTCTGAATTGTCAACGCACCCGAAAGGCACCATGTTGCTTGTAAAGCTGTTTAATTAATGAAACCTGAGATGGACTTAAATGCAAAACAAAAAGAATTATATACGGTAACTTTGATGAGGGTTTTCTAATCATTTTTTTCCCATGTGGTAATTTTAGAATCCAATTTTTTCTTTACTTTTAAAGTTTTCTGTTAATGTGTTTAAATGTAATCATTATAGGTTCTTTTAGTAATTTTGGAAAGCTACTTTTGTTTCCTCTGCTTTGCTTTTGCGTATATACGAATATACTTTGTTTTAAAAACATCGCCAGTGCTAATGCCAGTAGGCAATGTAAAATCCTTTTGACGGGCTAATACAAAATTACCATTGAGTTCCGGGATATGTATTCCATCAAATATGGAATATCCATGCACAAACGCTGTAGTAAGACATACAGACAGGTAATATAAGAATACACAAAGGCATGTATTCTTCATAATCTGTGAAGAACAAGTTTTATTAACACGGTTCAATCGCAACTTTCTTCTTCTACTCTTCATCTTAGTGTGTACTCCACACTGCCCCTTAGAGGCCAAGGCATACACAGCAAGAATGTTTTATTTATCGTTTGTATTTATTGTTATGATCTTAATATATTATTATTTACTTCATTACAAATCGATTATATGGTTGTTCTTTAAATTATATTTAGAGTTTTAGTAGTTGAATAAATAGTGAGTTTTAAAATCTATGTGATGATGTTTGTTCATTGTGATTTCAATATCAATAAAAAACATAATGAATTAGTCCCATAATCACAGAGCCCTACCATACGCCGCACACACACACACACACACACACACACACACACACACACACACACACACACACACACACACACACACACACACACACACATTCACTATCCAGTGAGATACCTCACACTCGGGACAGAACCAGTCGCCCTCAGGCTCAGCTGGTAGTTTGAGGCACTTGGCGTGGTACACCCTGGGGCAGAGCTCACAGCAGAGCACCTGGCCCTCGCGGTGGCACAGCCAGCAGTAGAAGTCATTCCTGCCGTCCTGCGGTACAACATCAACAGGGTCTGTGGTGAGTGCTGGCTGCTTCATATAGTAAAAGGGACCATGTCTTAGCTCTGACTGAAATGCAGGCAAGAGAAAAAGGGGGCAAGTTTCAAAAAACACGCAGGAACAAAAAAAGATGCAGTGCAACAAAAATAAGGCAACAATACAGTGGGGTAGGCCGGTAAGCATGGACATAAAAGAAACTCTCAACAAACTAATCTCAAAAACTGATCATGTGACAATTTCACCTGCGGTTCAAAGACAACTGGTTTAACAAGTTTAAGCATTGAGCAATTCAAAATAAATGTTAATCTTTTTACATTAGTAAACAGTACAGCTCCTAACTTACTGAATCTACTAGATGCAGGCTAAAACAAGTTGTTTTGAAATAATCATGTTTTTGTCACAAACTGTCATGTTTAAGTCTCCTATTTACTGTACCCAAATGTACAGTAGCCACTTAGTGTCAATGCTACGATCATACCAAGATCTAGCATGCAGAAAAAGATACACTTCTAGGTCGTGCTTGAACCAAAGTTGATGTCACATGTCAAAAAGTCTTCAAAACCACCAAGTGCAAATTATATTATACGGCAAAGTAGAAATACACTTTGCATTGACCATGCATTCTTCAAATCAGACTAACCAGAATATAAAGTTTCTTTTTCTACAAGCACATTGCGTCCAAGTTCAAGCTTGCAATATAAGTCACACTCAAAACCACCGGCCACTTATTACATACAGTACATGATGTGCTATTAAAAAAAAAAAAAAAAAAGGGATTTGAATTGAGTTTACGGGATGCAGTTCCTTATCCTTCAGTTGAATCGCAGAAGCAGCAACTCATTTTCAAAAAATATCAAACTGATAATGTCAAACCTGAGAATTTCACTCAACACAGCAGATTCTGAAAGAGTTGGTCCCGTTACCTGGTCTTTGCTTGAGGTCATGGCCCCAGGCTTCTTCTTTTTCTTGAGTGGACTGGAGGAGGTGTCAGATGGAGAGTGCCCATTGGACGAGTGGGTGGGACTGGACACCCTCCTCTTTTGTGGTGCCAAGGAGCGTTCTGCCGACCCCGGTGGATCGGGGGCTACATACAGATGCACAAACGGGTCATCATACATGACAGACCTTGTATGGGGCTCAAGGACTGGGTTAGCAATAAACCTTAACTTTACTTTTTTGAAACTTCCCAAAGCACACAGAATGGTGACAACAATAAAGATACCACTGACATCACTATAATTAGTGCACAACTGCATTTTGTGTAACACAAAAACTTATCACCATCACGGTCACAGAAGTAATGCTCAAGTGTGGCAATTTCGGAGTATACTGTTACATTAATGTATATTGTAAGACTGGAGGGGCTCCAGTTTAACCATCAAGGATTTGTGAACACAGAATCTGCAAAGTTCTTAGCCTGGATTTAGATTATGTTTTGAGTGACACAATTTCGATATGGTTGCGGCAGCAGAGGAAAAAAAAAAAAAAAAAAACGCATTAAATATCCTCCGATCAAAATCAGGCCTCTTACAAACTTGGACACAAATACAAACGGAATTGGATAAATTGGATAGCCGTCAAAGCAGTGTAAATGGATAGATTGGATATACTATATGAGGTGTGTCAGGAAAGATATATTTCAAACAATAACAGGATGATTCCCCCCCTTTAATTTTGGTCAAATGATCAGCCAGCATGTCTACGAAAAGATCATACTGCATTTGATTCATTCAGTGTGCGAGAAAAGGCGAGAGTTTTGCTAGGACAACTTGAGGCTGCCTCACTGTTCAGAACGGCCTGAACATCCGACAGTTCCAGGTCGGTAAGAACATCCCCACACTGAAGCACCCTCTCTAATTATACTACCTGGCTCCATGTGATTTTTTTTTTTTTTTTAAGAAATGAACAACATCAAGCTGGCCAAGATGATGTACAGTAGTTGCTATGGATCCTGAAAGAATCCTTCCAGGCGCACATGAAGGATGGGAAAAAAGCGTTTGACTCAAGGGGGATTATTTTGTTGGGGGAAACTTGTAGTTTGGATTTGAAGTATATTGTTTGTGACACCAGTCCTGAAACTTATCTGACGCATCCCGTACACTGTCAATGCAAGCCTGAAAGCATCAAAATACGGCAATTGGTGACGTATACACACTGATACACACATAAGTCCAGACCAACCAAACGCAACATTTAATGTTTAGATAATTTTTTGCTGCTGAAGTCTGAATAGTTATCTCCATGTACTTTGGACATTGGTGCAGACGGTTGGTTTTATGTGACTAGTGAATGGGAATACACTGATTCCAAATGTGGGTTCATAGAAATATACATGCGTAGAGACAATCGAATACAAGCGCTACAGTAAATGGGAACTGAGCACTTCAGCCTGTCACTTACCTTTGGACCGTGCAGATGCATCCATCCCTTCTACCACATCCGGCTCTGTCTTTATCTCTTCCTCAGCCAGACTATGGACAACAAAGCAAGCAAAGCCAGAGACAAAAAGAGATTCAAACACAAAGTCAGTAAGGGTGTTTCAAAAACCATGGTGGCATTAACAGTAAACAAGTGGAACACCACCGAGGGCACCAGGCTCCCAGAGGATCTGTCAACAGGGACTCAGCAGGTTTCCACTGGTATACATTCGTTAAATGTCAGCATCTCTGAGATATTGCCGACGGTAAAACCTTTGCCAGTCATTGGTAACAAATCAGGTGCAATTTGTTCTTTGTGTGGAAAGAGAATGGCAACAGTCGCCATTGCAACATTCCTGTCTGCTAAGAACTAGTCCACATTCAGAAAGATGAACATGGCTTGGGCATGGCATTGCCCTGTGTCTGTCTTTCATAGGACATTACAGTTCACAGCATTCAAGCTGATTTAACATTGTTTGGTTGACAGTAAAATTCTTTACTTGCGAGCTGGGTAAAAAATAGTCCATTTAACATTACAAGTCCTTGAAGGACCAATCATTGGTCCCCAATTTTATGCAACAAACAGCGAGGAGTGTAGATTTCTGTCCCAATTTATCTACAAACATTTTCAATGGAAGACACACACAGGCCACATTTAACATGCAGCACATTCAAAGGCTGACTTTCCATTTCCAGATTCCTTTTTTTTTTAACTCTTGAGATGGAAAGGACACTAGTAAATGCTACACCGTTTGCACCTTCTCCTTTGACAGAATGAGAGAAGGCTTTGCAACATGGATATGATCAGATAGTAATCAGCTAGCAGGCCACTCTCTTGACCAATAATATGTTCAGTGGAACTAGTGAACATGATGAATTTACGGGTCACAAACCAACTATCAAGCACACTTCTTCTATCTGAAAGGAAGGATTTTTTTTGTTTTGTTTTGTTTCCTTGTCCATCCAGCAGTATCTGTTCCCACATGAAGTTAATCAACTCATTGGTTTCCTGCACAGGTGTCAAACTCAAGGCGCAGGAGCCAGATCCAGCCCGCCACATCATTCCACGTGGCCCGCCAAAGCAAATCATGTGCATCAACTTGATGTTTCTTGCAAAGGTGCCAACTGTCTTCAGTTTTGAAAACGTTGGGATATTGCAAGCATTTATTTGTTTCCAATCCCTCTTTTAAAATAAATGTAGCATGAGAACAGTTTCCTGGTCTCTGACTTCAAAAATAGTAATTCATAGATTTGTTGTGTGTACGTAATCTGGGACAACCATATATTTATTTGAAGTCACACTGTGAACTTCAGTCATACTGGCCCTCTGCAGGAAACCCGAACTACGACAGGAATGAATTTGACACTGCTGGTTTAGTGCGTCTGAATCGACAATCTAAATTGGAATGGACATTAAAATATGATCTCACCACACTTTAAATCCACACTATTCCTTCATCCAGAGTATTAACAGAGAGGGTTGACAAGCCAACAAAGCAATTTCCCAATACCAAGACTGCTCTTAACACAACCTGTTATTCATGCAGAAATTCAAAATCAGCTTTTACACTTTTTTTAAAAGAAACTTGCATGGGGTCCTATCGGTCGGCCATGGGTTGAGCAGTTTCTTTACTGTGGCATATAGATATCTGGTTTCATCCCACCAACATTCACACATGCACACACCCAAACACCTCCAGGGCCTTCCTCTTCCGGACTAAGTGAACAAACAAGGCCTCTGTGAAAATAAGAAAAGGGTTAGCAGAGTGCTACATGCACCGAAGCCCTGAAAAGAGAGAACATTTGCCTTTGCCTGGCGATTCAGTGCTGCTCAACAAAAGGCCTGTGACCCCCACCCACCCACTCACACACACACACGCACGCACGCACACACGCACACACGCACACACACACACTCACACACACACACACACACACACACACACACACACACACACACACACACACGTCATAGACATGAAAAGACATTCCTGAAAGAACAAGGAATTTAGGATGTCAAAATGTATGGTGATCCAAAGAGCATTCTCAGATCAGCAGCTATGATCCATCACACGAGCAGGTAAATAAATCCTTGGCTGATTCTGGCATAGATTCCACACAGACGCACGTTGAAAAACATACTGACAGAATTCCTCTGTGCAAGTCGTACCTGATGGATAAAACGGAAACAACCCTGAGCCTGTGCCTTTATATTCCACTCCTGTGAGAGACGAGCAGGGTTCTCTCGTCACAGAAAATGGAGGCCACAGCTTGCTCCCCTCCCCCTCCCCCTCTACCCCATCCCCCACTCCTAGGCTCAGACTCAGACACTGGCACATCCATGCAGAAGGACCAGAGAGGTCTGTGGAGATCGCAATCCCAAAAAAAACAAAAAAAAAAACGATAAAAGCCAAACACACACAATAGAATATTTGGCAGATTATCTTTTAAACAAATATCCCCTCCCCCCCAATTTGGTCTTTTTCTCATTGCCTTTGAATGGAGAAGTCTTGCAACTATTACTGTGTATTCAAAAAAGCAGACAGGCCCTCAAACAGAATCCTACACCTCAAAACACAATGATTATGAATACAACAACCACATAACCAAAGAAGTAGCTTCTCAAAAGAGCAGATTACTCCGGAATGGTGCACACGGGAAGCAAATGGGATTTTTAGCTTTCACGTAAAAACATCCCGACCGCCCTGCGACACAAACCCCATGGGAGATGATCGGGTCTGCATTATGGAATCTCCTGAAACAAATAACACTTGCTTTGCCAAGAGAGACAATGTACAGACAACTGAAACAAGGTATGTATTTAACATATGCAAAAAGAAAAGAATCATTTTTCAATGGAGTCATTATAACTATCTGCTTTTCCTAATCAAAATACACATTCTTTAGCATTGCAAAGTCAAAACAAGGCCTCATTAGCAAATAAGATCCAAGTGTTCTTGAATAAAAGAACAGAATTGACCTGGATTTTGTATAAGGCTGAATCAAAGATGGCTGTGGAATTTTCCAGAAGGGCCTTCTCGTTGCTGCTCTCGCTCCGCTTGTCAATCTTTAACCTCTGCCGCATTTGCAATTGGCTGCAGGGCCAACAGGGTGGAACATTATTGGTCGGCTGAGTTATGCCACACGGATCACAGTGTGCCGGCACCCCTCTTCAAAAGCATTTTTTTTTTTTTTTTTTTTTTTTGCTGCAATGCAGAGATTTTTCTTCCTCCCCTCACGCAAGACAGTTCATTTCCCTTCAATGTACCTTGTCCTTCTTGATTATGACAATATAAACCAGAGAGGACATTAAGAGGCCCTCTGTTAACAACACCATGACGTTAGCTACTGCATACATATAAGTCAATGTCACACTATGACAATGGCTGTTTTAGGGGTTGTATGGTAGCTAACACCTTTTCCTAAGTATGCCTCGGCATAATAAGGAAACATTCACTTTGCTGAAGCTAATTAAACACAAGTGATCCACCGTATACTTCTCACAGTCGATGTCAAAAACAGTACAATACATTGTTTTACCCTGTCGTTCTGTCTTGTAAAAAAAAAAAAACAAAACATGACACCTCCTGAAATTTACCAATGCTAATAAATTAGTCACTGCCATAGATTAAAAGAATAATAATACTAAAAACAACATGTTTTACTGACCTTAACAACACCCAGAGATTTTCCAGGAAATTAAACCTACATTCACATTAAATATGTTTCACTGTGTGGGCATCTGTGTGAGGAGTAAAACCTCAGCCGAGAGATCCCTGAGCACAAAATGGCCACTGTGTGAGGATAAGAGAGAGGAAGAAGCAGTTTCACAATAGTGCAGTGTAGTCGGTGTTGCCTTGGAATGTAAACTCAAGGCCTGTGGCTGTAAATCAAGGAAACCAGCGTCTTCATCTTATTTTTGAAGTTTGGAGAGGAATAATTGAAAGAGGATACACCTCCAACTTTAAATATGCCTTATAGGGGATCCTTTCACATAAATGGAGAGCAAAAAGCAATCCACTGAGTTTTACATTGTTGCCAAAATATGTACTTTACGTGCCACCTTAAATGGTACACGTATAATAGTTGCGATTGTGTAATATTCTGTCATTAATAAAACAAAAAGATCTGTACTTTTCATCCATTGTAAGCAACTTCTACTCCCAGCGTGTCTATTCGCTGGCCTGGTATGATGCAGAGGAAAACAACACAGAGTTAATCACCTGACAAAGGATATACAATAAGCCCTCCCCTCCTATTCCTCCTCCAAAGCCCATCCCCCACTCGTTCTCTGCCAGGCTACAATACAAGGGAAGGAGATGTGGGTGCCATCAAAATCTACAACTTCGTTGCGTTATTAAAAAAAAGGAAATGGATTTGCCATGGTCCACTTTTCCTTATGTATGGCAGCCTGCATGTCAGGGGCACCCATGTGACCCTGAGACAGAGATAGAGAGCAAGGGTGAGAGTCGTTACCCAACCCCCACCTTCAGCCTCAGCATAGTGAAGCACAGAGGCCTGGCGAGGCCTCCAATCCGCCCCAGCTCCTCCTCCTCCTCCTGCACACTAAACTGATTTCAATGTGTGCACATTCGTCATGAAACCAACAGTCACCACAACAACGAGAAGGAAGCCATGCTGTAACGAGAGAGTTGAGCTAGAATATAAAGACAGAGCTTACCTCTGTGGATGCATGGCTGTCTGACACACTGTTATGTCAACACTTAAAAAACATGGAGGACACTCTCAGTCCTCAGCCGGGGAAGGCTCCGCTCTTCAGGCAAGGCGATCAGGCCCTAGTGTTGTTAGCCAGATCCTGACTGGTTGCCCTGCATGCAGGCAAGATGATACGCAGCATCTGATTGGACGAAACGTTTCCTGAGTAATTATCTTTGTTCAGAGCAGGCAGGGGCAGCAATGCGAGTGTTAGAGACAGAGAAAGAAAAATAAGCAGACTGCTATGCCCCCAAAAACAATGTAACGTGACTAATATGAACATTTTTTACATACAAACCACACGTCAGCAGTTTCCAAGAGTAGATCGTAGAAGAAGCTGCCTTTTCTTTTGCCTAAAGAGGAAGAAATGGGAGCACGTAGAGGTCGAAGCAAGACACCGTGGCTACTCTGGACAAGCCTGATTTTTTTTATATGGAGAGGGCCTTTGTTTAAACTCCTCCCTCCCTTCTGGCCGTTTTCAGTGAGATGACAGACTGGAGCTCTTCACCTTTGACAAAAAAATACAGTCAGAATGATACTGTTAGACAATGCACAAAAACTATACTGGAAAATTAGTTTCAAATGTTTTTTTTTTTTTTTTTTTTTTTTAAACAAAGCTCACCAAAGGAATGTTCATGACCTGCTTTTCACTGCTTCTCACTAATCTAATAATGTCATAGCCTAATGACAAAATTAACATCAAGTCGACCCCCACTATTTGTGGGGTGTGGGGATTGCATATATTTGACACACTTTGAAAAAAAACACATTTCTTCAAACCCAAATATTTTTCAAGAAACGCTCATAAATATTTAAGTTTTACACGAAATATGCGGGCAACATGAGGGAACCACCCCAAACAATAGTAAAACATTTTTTTAAAGTGGGGAAAAGAAATCTGTGATTTTGCAGGTGCTGAACTGTGACTATGCGGGGGTCGGCAACACGAGGCTCTCGAGCCACATGCGGCTCTTTAGCGCCCTAGAGGTTTTTCAAAAATGTTTGAAAATGGAAAAAGATGGGAGGGAAATATATTTTTTTGTTTTCATATGGTTTCTGTCAGAGGACAAACATGACACAAATATTATTAACATTTTCCGATGCTGTAAAAATGTGTCGAATAAATATTAAATGTCAAAATTTCATCAACGAATATTTGCGTCATAGCCTGAGACAAACGTTTCTATTCGCAGGGGGGGATGTCAGTCAGGGGGATGTTGAAAAAAAAAAAAGCTGCTTTTCATGTTCAATTCACCGAGGGTACTTGCTAAGAATGGGAATATGGGCGGCCAAGAGAAGCATTTTTAAACGGTACACTTGAGCTACAATAGTTAGCATGCTGCGAAAGTGTGTCTCGTGCCTCGTTCATCTCAGCAGCCGTTATGGCTGTCGCTCATTATGGCATGCGTGTGTAAGTGTGTGTGTATGCACGCGTGTGCGTTAACGGGTCGATCGCAGGAGGCTGGTTGTTCGAAAAGTAGATCCGTCAAAAAAGTTTGGGCACCCCTCCTCTACAGGAAGAATTGCAAGGGGAAAAAAAAAAAACTTTTAATCGTGAATGCTCGTTGTGAATTTGTAGCCAACTTAGTCATGTTGATAGCAGGTTAATATAGCTCATATAGATACATACAGCATGTGTTGCCTTCATTATAAGGCTTTTTATTTTTTGCGGCTCCAGACATATTTGTTTTTTGTTTATTTTGGTCCAATATGGCTCTTTCAACATTTTGGGTTGCCGACCGCTGGTATGGTGGAACCTTGATTTACAAATTTATTTGGGGAATGGATCATACGTTACAGCCATTTTTTTTCCATCAAATTGAACTATTTTTTTCACACCCTAAAAACACTCAATACAGTACAAATTTATTGTTTTGTACTCTTTCATGGCATAACGAAATGGCCAATACAGTTCAAAATTATTGTTAGTAAACATTAAAAAAACTTTTGAATTGTTTGAAATGTTTTTACGTTGATCCAAACCCCACTGGTGCTCGGAGTGGAAAGTGTGGGTGGGAGAAGCACTCGCTGCAGATTTCGACTAATTGTTCTCTCATCAGGTACATCTTTTGAGTGGTACTCAAAGATTTCTCTGGATCATGGTATCAGAACCATGGATGATAAAAAGAAAGCAGAGGCCATCAGGGCGGACTTTGCAGCGAAATGTTAACCTATCCTCTGTCAGTCACAATTCACGATACTGAGATAATATTTTCTGAATTGTCGATGCAAACAGTGAAGTTTGTGCTTTGAGAGGCTCTCATTACTCCATACAGGGATCCAAGCATAAAACATGCACTAATAACATGTTTTTGCTGAAAAAAATAGTAGAAGTTGGTAGTAACAGTGGCAACGTAAGATGGCTGTGCTCCGGCTTTAGCCACGAGGGGCCTCTTGATAGCCCATTCGTATACGAGCCCGTGCATGCAGCTGGTTAACGCGCTTCCTTTTTTTCCCCTATTACAATTTCATTGCAAAGATAAGGGCTTGTCCAAAAAAAATCTAATAAATAAAGAACAGTAACCTGTACCAAAAATAACATGGTCAAGAGACACGCACACATACTTGCTCAAACAACACCCATAAATAATAATCGGTAAATACACGACAATCATTTCGAGCTGCATGCCGAGACTAAATCTAGGCTAACGTCCATTACCTCTGATGGGGACATTTGCCCATGCTAACATGGCTGCCACAAATGTCCACACATTGCCTTTGATGGGAAAATAACGCCTGCACTATTCTACTGTTATGCGAGAACAGCGGCACACGATAGATAGATAGATAGATAGATAGATAGATAGATAGATAGATAGATAGATAGATAGATAGATAGATTACAAATCTCGAACAGAGCATGATGAGCATGTCAGTTACAGATGTAACAAAGATTTAATTTAACACCTGAATATTGTTACTACATTTCCGACATCTGCAGAATCTCATCTCTGACCCTGCCTGTCAAAAGGACCCTGCTCTGTGACATTTCTACCAGCGCTTTTGCTCCTGTGTGTGTATTATGCAAATAAAATATGGACTAAGAAAACAATGTGCGCTTTATTTTAAATCAGTGATTAATTGATTTATTAAGTATTTGGCGTTTTACCATGAAAATGCAAAATTCGTAACCATCGGATGCAAAGTTAAATTGTGTGGCTATCATTACATAATGTGTGGTATCTTGTGAAATGTTTTGACTCTATGGTGGAAGATCACTGCCTTTGACTAACAGTTGTATCAATATGATGTATTTATTCAGTAGCAATATTTTATATATTTAAATTAGGTAGGCTACAAATAAGAAATATTCAGTTTGTTTATGTGCATGTTGTGAATGGGAATAGGCGTGGTTTGAATAGATAACAAATACGTCAGACCTAACCGAATGACAAATCAAAACGACAAACTTGAAGTAGCAAGAGAAGTGAATGGCTAACGAGGGGCTCGAACCCTCAAATCCTACAATTATAAATATCACGATATACCGACTTAAGTTAGATGGGCACGCCACATCCCGATTATCACAATCTGAAAAAGCATGAAGCTGTCGTTCATGATTTAAAGTCAAGTAAATCATAATCGTCTTACAGAGAACGAAAGCAGCAGTTGAGGTGGAGTCGCTTTCCGTGGTCGGTCGCACACTGACACCTACCAACCAAAACAAGGACAATGTTAGGCGGGGTAAAAATCAAGCTACATTTCATACTATAGCCTTACAACATTTCAAATGCATGGCAATGGATACCAACAATACCACACAACCAGTTAAAGTTACAAAAAGTAGGTGTCTGAAAATATTTACCTGAGTACTGCTATCCGCCCCTCCGCTGTCTACCTGATATCCAGGATTCGATCATATAGATTGGATGACAGATAGATGAGACTCTGCTTCTTAAGGTCACTTGGCTTTGTTGGCAAAACATATGGGAGTTATTCACAATCAGCAAACTAATAAAGGTGAAAATACGCACACACACACAAAAAATAACAACAGGTAAACGGTATGGCTTTGGCTTTCTCGGTGGTGGTAGACTTCGATCTTTGACGCATCCACAGCACCTCCAGCTGGTGGGACCACTTAGTGAATGGCTAACGAGGGGCTCGAACCCTCAAATCCTACAATTATAAATATCACGATATACCGACTTAAGTTAGATGGGCACGCCACATCCCGATTATCACAATCTGAAAAAGCATGAAGCTGTCGTTCATGATTTAAAGTCAAGTAAATCATAATCGTCTTACAGAGAACGAAAGCAGCAGTTGAGGTGGAGTCGCTTTCCGTGGTCGGTCGCACACTGACACCTACCAACCAAAACAAGAAGGACAATGTTAGGCGGGGTAAAAATCAAGCTACATTTCATACTATAGCCTTACAACATTTCAAATGCATGGCAATGGATACCAACAATACCACACAACCAGTTAAAGTTACAAAAAGTAGGTGTCTGAAAATATTTACCTGAGTACTGCTATCCGCCCCTCCGCTGTCTACCTGATATCCAGGATTCGATCATATAGATTGGATGACAGATAGATGAGACTCTGCTTCTTAAGGTCACTTGGCTTTGTTGGCAAAACATATGGGAGTTATTCACAATCAGCAAACTAATAAAGGTGAAAATACGCACACACACACAAAAAATAACAACAGGTAAACGGTATGGCTTTGGCTTTCTCGGTGGTGGTAGACTTCGATCTTTGACGCATCCACAGCACCTCCAGCTGGTGGGACCACTTCCATAACACGCATCCATCGATGGATCATTTTTAGAGATTGTTCATAGATCTGTTTCGTTTTCTCAAAAAAAAAAAAAAAAACCGTACACTTAAGTACTGAGCAAGTCAGTAATCCCAATTCTTTACGAAGTAAATCCAAATGAGAACTAACGCGAGATGTTTCGATTGAGTTTGATTGTTTCTGATGCTGTTCTTGGATGTCGCGATACTTAAGGTTACGTGTCAGGCACAAAATACGTTCTATTTGACCGGGTGCGTACATTTGATAGGGCGATACATTAGCAGTCTTGACATTTGCACGTCGTAAGCAATACTAAATCTTGAAAAAACGAGAAACCTACAAGCATGCTTGTATATTCATCCAAGATATTCGAGCGTAAATGTGCCGCTTAGGTCTTTTCAAGTGGAGTGGGTTCGCCTACGTCAATAACAGGGCGGTACTTGAATGGGCTGTTCAGGAAGGGCCCCTCATCATCTGGCATTACTAGGCTGTTATTATTTCATGGGTGTTAATTACGCTTTGGTTAATGTTTGGTTCGCTGCGTTGTTTCGGGACACTTAACTAATGAGCAGTGGACCGCTGGACTGCGGGGGAGAGATCGACCCAAAAGGGAAGGGAGACAAAAATCCATCGGCTGAACTCGCAGGCTCGCAGCGGTAGGATCGCGGCATCCCGGAGCAGGAGGAGGCTGAGGCCGAGAGACCCGCCTGTGAGCCATGGGTTTCCGCAAGAAGAACAAGAGCCCACCGGTGCTCAGCCACGAGTTTGTGATCCAGAACCACGCCGACGTGGTGTCGTGCCTGGCCATGATCATTCTGCTGGGCCTGATGTTTGAGGTACTGTACTGTATGGATGCAATCGTGCTTATTAGCCTCCTAGCATCTGTGAGGTTCCGTTAGCTGGCATGACAGCACATGTATTCTTTGAGGGGCCTATACAGCATGAACGTGATATTAAGAGTTATTGTTTTTAAATGCAGTGCAATAAATGCATTGACACAATGTCACACTGGCATTTTGCAGACAGCATAGTTAGTGTAATATATAGTGCAATATTTTAAACAACTGCAGTAGAATTAGTAAATAAAAACAAAGATAAAGGAAAATGTAAGATAATGAATACAGTACCCAAAAAGAATACAAAAAAAACAAGAGAATAAAACATAATAACAGGTTGCAAGTTGCATATGCTCTTTTCTTACTGCTTATGCAAGATAAGGAGTTTACATTTATTGAATCCATCCATTATCTCAGACGGTTGGTTATCCTCACGAGGGTGGCAGGCATGATGGAGCCAGGGGTACACCCTGAAATGGTTGCTAGCAAATTGCAAGACACACACACACACACACACACACACACACACACACACACACACACACACACACACACACACACACACATATATATATATATATACACACACTATATGCCCAAGATGTATTTAACAAAATGTAAACAGGAATACACTGGAGGAACTAACTCAAAAACTCACTCAAATAAAGTCCAGCAAAATCACAAGAAATCAAAGTAGCAAAAACCTAAGACAGAAAACAAAACATGACACGTGCACAGAGACATACACAATGAACCGACATCGACTGGTCGGGCAGGGAGTCCTTTTAACCAAACATGAACTACTGACACAATGGCCAACAGGTGTGCAGCTGTAGGTGGCGCCCTACAGTGCCACCTGTTGGTCACAAACAGATCCATGACAGAAAATCTCTTTTCCAAAATTAGATCAATTAAAAAAAAGATCAAGTTTGCCATTCATTGTCTATTATGTCTTTATTGTGTATGGTTTGTCTATTAACTGTTTTGAGCAGGCTTAGACATAGCCATTTTTTTCATTATTTGTAGAATCATCATGTCTGGCTAAACTAATCAAAATGGATTTATAACATCTTTAAAAAGGGTGCCTCACATGTACTGGTGTTTATCAATGACATATTTGACACTCATCCAGCCATCCATTTTCCATCAGAATTGCAGATAGGATGGATCTTATTCCAGCTGACTTTGGGAGAGTGGTGGAGTAAACAACGGATTGATCATTAGACAGTGTCAGGGCAGACCGTAGGTGTGTCTATCCTAGCCCATTTTGTTGGGTGCTGAAGCACCCCCATACTGAGAGGTGTTGAAATGACAGAAAAAAGTCTCCACGTAAACCCGACACTGTGAGCAGTCTTACGATCATGTGGAATAGTTTGAGTGAGCAACCCTGTCTAATCTCAACAAGAATTTCGTCATCTCTTCCACCTAATATCAACACATTATTATCATTGCAATTCTGCTGCATTCAACTGTTGGCCATTATTTATGTTGTTAGGTAATTAATTAGCTGACATTTTTTTCTTGCTAGTAAACAATACATGTGGTCAGACAGTACCATGTCCTTTTTGACTTGCAATGAGAGAAATACGCTTTTGGCATCCTAATGCACTAGTCTTAAAGCCAGGGTGTTACTGACTACCCAACTGACTAGATGCCCATCATCATTGAAACTGTTATTTAGTGTCTGCAGGTGAGAGCACCTTTTTTTTTTCCAGTGGTAAATTGTGAAAGTGCAAGATGACCAAATGCCCCCAAAACTGTCAGCACCCCTAACCTTCTTATCCTAGAATCGCCCCTGGGTTAAACATAGACAAACAACTGTGGGTTCAGTCCGCAGCACCACTGACTGACTGGCGAACAGTTCAAGGTGTCGTTTTGCCCTCATGGAGCTGAAATAGGCTCCAGCTCTCACATAACACTGAACAATATACAAAACAATATACAGTCTTTCTCAGCGGTACAGAATATATGGAGAGGTGTTTCTATACTTGTCTACGTTGCGTTTGAAGTGGCACAAACTTAACTTGATATCCCTTAAAGCGTAGTCAGTTCCACATTAATTCGACTTGCTCCTCACTTTCCCTTGTATTTTTGTCTAACAGATCATTAGAGTGGAGAACTTGTTTGCACTTAGTTTACAACCAGGCTGCAGAATGAAAATAGTTTTCAAACATATTTGTCACGTCATAACACATTCTACATAATCTATAAGCAAGCTACTGAGTTAGTCCATCAACATTTTCTTTGCATTCCAGGTCACAGCAAAGTTTGCCATCATGTTCATCACAGTCCAGTACAACGTCACGCACGTTATTGGTGAGTGGAAGGCTTGACGTCAGGTGATCATCTCGTCTCAGAGTTCAGTTTCAGCAGGCTCATTTACTTCTGTGTGTCTGTTTTTCTTTTCAGATGAAAAGAATGATCCGGTGAACCTTTACCATTATGGTCCTAAAGATGTGGCTACTGTGTTTTTTTACCTTCTAATTGTTGTCATTCTTCACGCCCTGATACAAGAGTATATTCTTGATGTGAGTACCGGTATACAAAGCCCTACAATCATACTTTGCCTCTTGTAACACTCTGCCTAAATATAATGGCTATTTTATATTGTTGAACTTTTCAAACATTTTTTTTACATAAGTGTTACTATTTTGGCCTTAATTTGGCTTCTTTTTTTTCTTGTAAGTATACATAATTTCCATGCTTCATATCCCAATGTAATGTGTTGGTCTTGTTTGGTTCCAGAAAATGAATAGAAGGCTCCATCTATCAAAGACCAAACACAGCAAGTTCAATGAATCAGGGCAATTGGCAGCATTTTACCTGTTCTCCTTCATTTGGGGCTGCAGCATCTTGACAGGGGTAAAAACACATCTCTTTATTTTGTCGCACTCTACTTTCCTATAATCTCTTTTTCTTTCCATCTTTTGTTTTTGATAGGAGGACTTTGCAAAAAATCCCACTTTCTTATGGGAAGGTTACCCACACACTCACATGGTGTACGTAAATATTTCCTTTCATGTCACAATTTTGATTTTAAAAAAAATATATCATGCAGCGCAAGAATGAACTGCTTACAAATGGTTGGTACCCAGGTTGAACATAGGCACAATATCTGCTCTGCTCAGTTTTCAGGTCAAGTTTTTCTACATTTGCCAAATTGCCTATTGGCTCCATGCACTTCCTGAGCTATACTTTCAGAAAGTACGCAAGGTAAGGCTCATTTGTAAAAACCCTGTATGGTAGCATATGATCAAAGTCCTTGTGTTTCAGTTAGGATTTGAAGGTGGCATGCACCCATAAACACGAAGGTAATGTGCTTGCACCGCAAAGTTTTCTTTGACATTTACTATTGTAGCTGAGCTTTTAGTGGTGCTTTATAGCTGCTGAAATAAATCACACTTTAGTTCCACACATCAGTTTGAAGTTTATTTATATGAGCTGAGCAGCAAATGGGAGCAGAGGGATGTCAATGTTTAGATTAACTGGAAGAGAGATATTTTGAAATTTCCCTGTAGAGGAGGGTGGGGGCTGCCTTTAGTGAGAGGTGTGCTACATCCTGAACTATCTAATCATCAGCCAATCACAGGTCAGACATAGAGTGTCAAACACAACCATTCTCATTCACATTCACATACTTGTTGGACGTTTTCCATTAACCTGATATGCTTTTTTTTTATTGTGTGAGGAAACGAAACGAAAATGGAGAACCAACACAAGCACAGGAAGTTTCCAACATGCAAACTCCACACACAAACTAATGAATATACTGTATTTCTTTCAAACTGGGGTTTCTTAGAGAATATAAGTAAGTACAGGAATAGGTGTGGAATTGTTCACAAAATCCACGGTTCTATTCCTAACTGATAGTCATACTTTCTACCCATTATCTTGCTGCTGTAGACTGTAAATTCCCCCAGTGTGGGACAAATAAAGGATATCTTAATCTTAATATACATATCATTCATAAACATATAGGCGAGTTCAGCTCATGCATAAAGTAATCTCTAAAGTCACCTCTTCATTTTTGGAATATGGACACATGCAATTCTCAGCTTTGTGAAACACCACAACACTGGATTTGAAATGAAACACGCAAGATGCACATTAAGATGCACACTTTTAGCTTTTTTTCAGGGTACAATATTTAATTCCAAAATCAGGTGAACATTGTAGGAATGATAACAGTTTATGTGTATGCCTCCCCGTTTTTAAGCATTGCATATCCTCGGGTTAAAGCCAAGTGTTGGTGAAAATCCCAACTCCTCAGTCACGAACAGAACGTTTTCCAGCGGGTTATCCAAAATAATTCCAAGTCATCCATTTAATGTACCAGAAATCTTGTGCCGGAGAAATAAAGACCGGGTTGTGGTGGCTTACAATGGTGACACTCGCGTCATGAACCCACCTGGAGAAGCCTTTGAGGCGGGACGTGCGCCGCTGCAATATGAGTAGCTGCCGCGTTGCATGAAGGATATGACACACATGTCCTGTTGTGAATGAACCAAACGGAATACAGAATTACTAAACTCAAACTGTCAAACTGAAGGGTCTGGATGGTTTTCAAAAACGGTTCCACCCAAGTAAGTCACTGAGTTTGTATCCCTGACTCTTTTCTGATTTGTCATCTGTCTCTAGGAGGACATCCCTCGCCAACTCTACTACATTTGCCTTTATGTTGTTCACATCACTGGTGCCTACATCTTAAAGTGAGTACAAATATACGTAATGTATGTCATCCGCAATATGATTTCAACTGACTAGGCCAACAACAACTGTGCTACCGTGTTTGATTACACACGGCTCGATAAACCAGAAAGGAGGAATATTACCGGTCTTTCATCTTTCATGCAAGTGAAATGAAAACAGTTTCCAGGTGTCATAGTAACACATCTTATCTTCACTTAGTTCCCACGTTAACTTAGAGAGAGAGAGAGAGAGACAGAGAGAGAGAGAGAGAGAGAGAGAACCACACAAACAGAGGGTATGTAGAATTACTAATAATATTAAATATAAGTAAATTATTAGATATTGAAGATGGTTTCTAACACATACGCCATTTCTGATTCAGAAACATGCCACGACTGTTTTTCTTATGGTTCAGTGTGAAGGCACTGATGACACACAAACTACCAGTCCCATAGTGTAGCACAACAGCTGCCTTAGCGCACAAAAGGTGACCTGTAATCATGTCAGCTCTGTCTACATGCGAACTGTGTGTATGTTTGGTAGCGTCACATGTGTCAGCAGCTGTTTTTCTATGATGAATGTTAAAAGCTCTTGGACTGGAGGGAGTCCATTCAAAAATATGCTCCTGGCAAACTGGTGACAATGGTTCACTTTTACCGTCTTTCAAGCTAAAAGCAAATTGGCCAGGTCAACCAATCTGGACAGCGAGTTCATTTCAATCTGCAACACAAGATTGCTGCGTTAATGCACAGTGCCTTTTTGTGAGCTCTGGCCTTTGTCAAATCTCATTCTTTCAACCCAAGCAGGGGCACTATTATTTTTAGGTCAACACCTTCCAATAATTCACTATTCAGAGATGAAAGTCCTCCGGATTTTCCCGGAATTCCGGGTTTTTCAAATTTTTATGAAAATTTCTCCGGAGAATTGAGGAAAATTTGCATAATCCGGATATTTGTTGACAACATTGAACGAAGACGCGTTTGAGTTCGTTGTATTGCTTTCACGAGCGTAGCCATATTGAGGCACTAACACTAGTAACAGTAAAGAGATTTTTGTTTGTGTAATAACGACAGAAGGCATGATGGCGTTTGACTAATTGTTTAGTAGAACGAATGGCAACTCGCAACAACAGTAGCAAGCGTCATTTTGCCTCTTGGGTTATACCATCTCAACTAGAACGTGGGGGATAGTC